GAGTGAGCGACCTTTGCTGGCGGCGGCTTCAACTGTAAGCTCTAGGGAGACCCTTGATGGGCGACGCGGAGCGTCGGCGCCGTGCATCCGGAGCCGGAGAGAGATCTGTGATGGTGAGCATGGCTATCGGGAAGGTTCTCAATGGGACGAGATCTAGGGTTGGGTGCCGTTAACGGCGGTGATGTTGGTCGGCATTAGCCGGCTCTTCACGGTGGTGTCTTGCTGCTGCGACACGCCACCTTGCTCGCTAAAGATAGGCGCACGAGCTCTGCAGTCGGCTCGAGTAGCAACGCATACCGCCGCAGAAGGTTGGAGTTTGGCAGAGTTTGTTGTGGGACTGAGCGTCCTTGTCCCAATAATGGATTTGAGATAATAGCTCCGGAGGTGAGAGAGACTGCATTTATATTTTTTTTTTTTTTTTGGATTCACTGGAATTTACTAAGAAAAGAATTAGGAATCGGGTGCACGTAGTTGAAGAGTTTATTTTTTTTTTTTTTTTTTGGGGGGGGGGGTAAACGCTTGTTTTGGTGGGGTCATATGTCGACGCGATAAAGGGATTGTGGTGGCAGTGATGAGGCTACAGGTGGGAACGTTGAAAGGCAAGCTGTGGCGAGCGTGTGTGAGCTGGGTATTGGGCTGACTGTCGCATGGGCCGACAGTGTACAGGGTGAGTGGAAGCTCGCCGACGAGACAATTGGTGGTGATGGTTTGACTGGGTGATCAAGGCCACGACCCGAAGGAGTTGGGCGTGAAGGTGGTGCTGGCAGCCAGGTGTGTCAGGTCTATCATTGTTGCAGACATGGTGTTCGACGAAATGTCCCAGAGGGATTTTGGGTTTGCTTCGGCGAGGTGGTGAAGAAGAGTGAAGGTATGTGTAGAAAATTCTAGCGGACTAGGTTGAGGTCCGGCGGGCGACCAAGGCGAGGTTGCCGCCCGTCGGTGAAGCGAAAAATACTAAGTTCTTAACCTTGCTCTGATACCATGTTAAAGTTGATGTATAGAGAAATAGAGAGAATGAATTATGTATTGATTTATATTGTACAATGGTTCAGAGGCTCCTTATAAAGGAGAAGTTTACAAACAATGCACCCAAAAGCAACCGAAAGCAAAGACATCATGATTACAGCTTGGATACTTTACAGCTAATAACACTAACAGCTAATAACATATAATACATTAACAAATTCTATGTGATGCTCTAATTTGAAATTATTGACTTAGATGGTAAGATTCATCACTTTTTTATCGGTGTTTTAAAAAATAACATGAAATGTATCAATTAATAAATAATATGAAAATTGCTTCAAATATAATTAATAATTTTCCAATTGTTATATTAAATTTCCTATCAATTGTCACAACAAAAATATATGTTAAAAATCATTATACTTTGTTTTAAAGTTTACTGATTACACAATAATGACAACATATCCTTTTTGCTTTCATAACCTGCCATTGTTGTTATTTAGCCAAAAAAAACACCTGCCATTGTTGCTCAGCAACTCCCTCCGTTCCTCCCTCTTTTCAAAAATTCAAGCCTCATTTTTATGAACATTTTCAACATTAATTGACATTTTTTGCACTTCTTAAATTTGAAAACTTATTCTTTAAACAATATCACTTAATTACAAAACCATGAAATATGTCCTTTTAAGTGCACATTGTATTATCCAACATTCCCTTATTCATAGACTTGCTTGAAATTAAAACCTTTAATTCACACTTTTTTTTAATGCTCCACCCCACGCTTAAATTCAAAATATTTGTGAACTTGTAAGGGAAATTGCACATAAAATATCACAATGGTTTTTAGTGTCTATTTACAGTCTTTTTTTTTTTTTTTTTTAGAACGGAGAAGGTTAAAATTGAGAAATATCATCAGTTACATCAGATATAATCCTCTATCCAAACTCACATACCAGTGCCATCAAATGCTAATCTGCTCAAACCATGAGCTATAAAATTACCCTCTCAATAAACATAAGACATCGAAAAAGACCAAAAGCTACCCAATAAATTGTATGCAACCAATGCAAGATGGCCACACGGATAAAGAGCTGCACCAAGATAAATTACAGTTTCTTTGTTAATATCAACAAAAGTTTATTTATGTAATAATTTAAGGTAAAACAGACGGGTGGTTGACCTTGAAGAGGCCACCCTTTCAAGGTGTGGAAGATTTTGATTTTATCATATATAATAATCAGCAAACCACATATATTGATTAAACCCATGTGTTGTTGCTAATGAAAGGTGCACATAGGATGTTCGTATTTACAGTTTATTGCATGACTCACTCAAACCACTGAGAGGTGAATATAACATGTCTGCATTTATAATTCATCTCATTACTGCTTCAACCACTGATCTAACCACCATACGGGCTTGAAAAATATGAACTCCATTTTTTGTATAACTGAATGTTTTTACATAATATCATAGATTTAATCCTAACAAACTAATATCATCGTATTAGTGTACAAACAAACATATTTTATCTTATATCTCTATTATAATACCACCACACTAGTAATTCCATTACTCAATTCACCATACTCGTAAATTCTACCCAACCAAATCAATCAATTAAACATGGCCTAAGTTCCTAGAACTCTCAATCACATCATCAACATACCCAGATGTTCTGAAAAAAAAAAAAAAAAAAAACATACCAAACAAACCTCAAATCATAAATCACACATAAGCGAGCCCACATGATTATTGTGGAACTCAGATCATTATGTGAGTATTTGGGAAATGGGTTTTTTTTTTAAGTTTTTTAAGTTGTAGGATATTATTGGAGAAATTTTTTTTGTATTTGAGAAGATAGTTGGGTTTTTTTGTGATTGGATGTGATGTTTGTGAGAGAAAAAATAAAATGATTATGGGATTTGATGTGATATTTTGTTTAGATTTGTTTTTTTTTGGTTTTGTAAAATATTTGTCTTGTAGTGAAAAAAAAAAAACAACCTCAAATCATAAATCACACATAAGCGAGCCCACATGATTATTGTGTAACTCAGATCATTATAAGTGCATTGCATGAAAATACTTGGCAATGAGCCTGGTAAGAGATGGACTTTCCTCATGCAACGCAAAAAAAAAGGTCCAATCTTGACCAACAAAAATAATAATGATCTACAAGGATAAAGCATAAACCTCCTCACAGATTATCACGCTTCCAATCTATAAGTACATATACAGATAAGCCACTCAATATCACAACACAACCACCAACAATAGCAATTTTATGAAACTTGTGACTGAATGGAAGCAATACCCTGACAAATACTGAATGAAATACTCCAAAGATCCTCCATTTACTTGGTGATTGCATTAGTACATGCATCAGCACATTCTCTTGAATTGACCATTGAATGCCGCAATATATGTTCAGCATCACCAAAGTGCAGGGTTACAGTGAGTCACACAATTTTTGTCATTTTATTCTACTTGCAAGCAATTCCGTAAACGTGAGGGCCCAGAATAGAGGCAACAGACACAAAAGCCATGTTTATGTCAACGTCAGAAAACCCTGCTTCAGATTTATACTCTCCCGTTTTTCTTGTAAGCTGACACCCATCAGAGACTCTCTGCTGAAGAGGATCAAGAATGCCCTGTAAAAATCTGAGAATCGTACCATCTATCCAACCAAAACAAGAAAAAGAGAATGAAAACTTTAAATATGAACCAACTCAGCAAAGTGGGGCAACAGTGACAGAGAGTTTCAAATTGAAATATAGAACTACAAGATTTTTACTTCTACCACATGAATTGAGATAATCAGTTCCACACCTTTTGCAGCCACATGCTCCACAAATAAGAAAAGGCCACCCGGTTTAAGCACCCTCATCACCTCTGTGAATTCAATAGTATATTCGTTATAGAATGGCTTGATGGATCTTGAAATTTCGCTACATTCAAAAATCATATCCAAATAACTAGGGAAAAGTAGCTCATACTACATTTGAGTTTGGGCACTTACAGTCAAAATTTAGTCCATCCAAGTTAAATGGCCACATAACCAACCTATAGAGGGGCACTTGGAAGCCTATTGGATTGAAATTTATTAGATTACTTTTCATATAACTTTTGGGATGGGTAAATTTCAAAGTATACACGCAAGATGACATTTCAGAGGTTATGTCCATATGTTGTGTCTAGTTTTTTTGTTGATTCCAATTCTAAGGATGGATTTGTGCCTACGTCGCATAAATGAAAAGGGTATAATTACATTAATGTGACAAAATAAAAGAATACAGAGTCTCTCTTTCCAAATCATCTGTTTCTATGGCTTAATAGAGAGAAATGGGTAGAAATGGAGAGGAGTTAGTAGTTACCAGTTTCGTCCTTACTTCTTATAGGAATTAGTTGCCATTTTTGCCCTTATTTTTCACATTAAAAGGCTTTTTTTTTTTTTTCCCCCTCTCCTTTATCTTTCCCAAACAAGAAGAGAGGCTAATCCATCATCTTCTCCTCATCTCTCCTAAACCAAACAAGCAAAGAGACCAGTACCATTATCCTATCTTTTCGTTTCTCTCTACCTAATCATTTCTGTTCTTTTCACACCTAGTTTACCAAACTCACAAGTTTTCTGACCAAGTACAATTCTTTTAGTTTTTGGGCCATCATGCAGTAAGTTTTAGCGATAAACTAAATTTCTTCAATGTATGCATTCTTCTTCAGAGTTTCCGCTTAAAATTGAAAAGGGAAAAGTTTTAACGACGAACTTAATATAGTTCAAAAAACAGAAAACTGATTCACTAATTGAAACTTTGCGTCATATTATACATGCAAGAAGTTCACTGGAAAATGTTATGGCTCACTGAATTTCACTCCAAGATTGATCGTCTGTGAATATAAGGTATCTGTTTGAACTTCAATTTTTTAAGTTGACTAACTTGAGAAGAAAGTGAAAGTCACACTAAATTATATACCTTTCAGTGTCATATTAATGTCTTTTACGGAACAAAGTACATGCGTTCCGACAACAACATCAACGGGAGCATCACCTAATGGCAAAGCCTCTGCAACCTGCACAAAATCAACAACGTTTAAGTCTAGAGAAATGGGCTGAAGCAACCAATTCCTATCAATTGTCACAACAAAAATATCTATTAAAACTCATGATACTTTGCTTTCAAGTTTACTGCTTACACTGTTCATTATTGACAAAATATCCTTT